CGGTCTTAGCATGAGAACTAAGTTGAAGGATGGTCGGTACAATTGATCATCGTGATCCCTGAACATTATTCCTCTTCGCTTAGCTCGAGACTGAAACAGGAATGGTCACATGTGTTGGCAACTTGAAGTCTGATGAGACTGCCAAGACCTGCAGAACTCAACGAAGTGCTCCACTGTGTCAAACCTCTACAGCACTTTACAGTATCTAACCGTACATGCGCTGCGAAATCTGACGCTTCCACACTTTCCTTTACCATACAATTCGGTTACGAGTCTTGTGTTGGATCACGAGTCAACAAGTGTAATTTTAGCTGGTCTTCTCCCTGTAGCATAGTGAATGTGCGCTGCATGAAAATGTTGTCACCATTTGTGCATCACGCTAATGGTCATGGATTCTGTTTTACCAAATCCTTTCAATTTTCAATCCTCTTTTAAATTAAGAATTTAAGGATTTTGGATCCATTACAACTGTCGAACAGATGCTATCATATAATTATGTACTATTCACAACTTGTGGGCCGAATAGCTTACAAAATAGAAGCCGAAAAAGTAGCTGTATGAGGTCAATCTTTGATTGACTTTGGGATTGACCTTGATGCATAGTTTCTTCGTATGTTGTTTCATTCAACATGGACATTCTACCTTGACCTTTGTATTCCAAAACGACCCTTGTCATGCGGAGATTTATATCTAATAATATCTATATCGAAATATTATGATAAAATTAAGAAATTTATCTTTTAAATTTTATTTAAGATATAATGAATACAAATACTTATTTATTCAATTAAAATTTTAAAGAATCATACGTACATTTTTCCATAATTAGAAGTATTTGTATTCAATATATCATTTATAAGTACTATATCGAATCTTGATATGTTCTGCTTGCAAATTTTGTAGTTAAAAGTAAAGAAAAATATATTGACTCTTATATTCTAATGCTGTTTTTCCTTAACAAAAGTCTGTCGAACAGTTCATCATGTTAAAAACATCATATGAGTAGCAGGTCAAATGTCACAGATTTTATCCAAGTGGGGTCTGAAAAGTAATACTATGTTATATGCTGAAGCAAGTTGTGAGACCTGCTGTAGGCCAGTGGAATATATGATCTATTTTGAGCCAATGTTCGGCTCTCAACGTTACGATGCAAAAGTTCGGTTTAGACGAATGTCGGGCATGAATTGCGAGGCCAGGTTTGAACGATGCTTCATTGTTCTGAATTTTAAAGTGAAAGAAGCAAAATCGTCCCTCAGAGTATCAGCAATCCACCAAAATGGCGGCTCTTTCTGTCAAAGAGATCCCCTGATACGACTCAAACCTGAAGGTCAGTCCCCCTGAAGACAGCAGTAACACCATTATCGTACATTGCACAGGAACCATCCACTATCAACGATATCGTCTTTTACATGTCAGAACGTACAACTCATGGATCTTGAGAACCCCACTCCGCACTGTCTCGTATTTCGCGATAGATTCACGAAGATCATGTTCTCACGTTATCGTTGACCTCTGGACACTCCACACGTTAGCTGTAACGATCGATGAGATGGACAACGGCGGAGATTCGTGATCACATCCCAAACTCGATAATCCTGAAGGATCCTCAGCCAGCGGCGTCGGTGTACCGCTAATCGTTCGTCTGAAGCAGAAACTCGAAAGGTGCAGATCGTCTAGTCGAGCTGAAACTTTGACTTGTGATCAGATGGACTTTATAGCGAAATGCTCCAACTCGTGAGGCCGAAGGAATTGCAATACTGACACAGTGGTGCCGATTTCAGAGTAGAGACAATAGTGGGCTGATGCCTTGTGACAGTCACAATGTCGACAACTCCCTCTATGAGCGGGCCCACCTTCATGTCGACACTGGAATACAGCAAATCTGGCGGCATACATAGTGCCGATTTTCTCTCGTCGAACTTTGTCAACTTCTGTTTGAAACTCGGCGGAGTTCAGATTAGGTTTTACTCTGTCCCTAGGGAGGTACTAGCTGCTCGCCGCGATTTACACCTTAACCTGGTTCAATTCTCGGGCATCAATTCCAACACTGTCCAACTTGTGCGGTGACATCCATCTTCGGAGACGCATCGTACTAGCAGAGAATTTCGCAGAGAATGCAGGACAAGGGTCGATAACGAGAAGCCATTCATCCTACGGGGCAATGTTTTACGAGAACAGCCGTAAGATTCAATAGAAAGTCCTATTGTTTTCATCGTACCCGACATCCACGTAGTGAAAGTGTAACGCGGTTCTGGTGTCGGACTGAAACCCGAACCATAACGTCAGATGGCAACTGTAGCGTGAAATGGGACCACGGTGCAGACCTCTGTCCTCAGGTAGATGGACTTTCCCTGTCTCATGTGCCTCGAGGCATTCTTGCTCTCATGACACTTTTGGCGGGGGGTGTACTGTCGTCATAATTTTCCAGATATATCGATGACTCAGGTCGCACAAGCATGAAGGATTTTCAGGTTTAACGACTGACCTCATTCGTGGCAGCTTCAGAATGATGATGGTTCAGTGTCTGTGCGTGAGGGGCTTGTCTCAGAGTTATGGCCTTCAGAGACGACCAAACGGCGCCCGCAACTTTTTCTATTCACCCTCGGCGGAGGTTCCTTCCATGTTGACATTCGTGTTGAAGTTTTTCCGATGTCGACATCAAGTCATGAAGGCCTTTGGATGTGGACACTCATGACAGCATTTTTCCTGATATTTCATCTGCGCTTTGGATTCAGCAGCTTCCAAGAAAGACCAATTTTTGTAGAGTCAACCCCTACTTTCAAAAGCCATTGTAACGTGAGAACCACCGGTCCTGATGACAACACGCATCACATTTTTCTTTTACAAAGGCTTGTTGCTTTACCTCTTTCTCTGCGAGTACGGATCGGGTAAATCTCGTTAGATCTCAATGTTCTCCTTTTACTGCATTCGGTAGTTGCCATCAAATTTGGCATTTCGGAACAGCATGAAGTCAACAATATCTCAACTTCCCTTCACTGGTTGAATCCACTTTTGCTCACAAAGATCTCGTTGTTTTTCTTCTCATAATGGACTATGTGCAGTGTCTATATTCCCAGCTTCACCCATGGCTTTGCTACTAATTCTTAACCATCTTCTTCCCATGCAAGCAAAATCATTGAGCCACACGTTTTCAAATTTCAACATTTCAATAATATACAAGCCCCCGACATGTGCCTGACTTCTAGTGAGTGAGTTCAAAGTAAACTGTGTTATAACGTCATTATGTTATGTGTAATTTGTTGCCTGATTACCTGATAACATAGATTGGAAAATCTTTCAATCCAATCCAAAAATAATTTAGTATAGATAACTCCCTAAGTCATCAAACAAAATCCTCGAATCCATCGCAAACGGTCTCGCATCCCAATGTGAGAATTACTGGCGAAACTTCTACTAAGAAAGAGACATCTTTCCAAGAAAGATAGAAACTGGATCACAATTCAGGTCTTATTGAAGCATGCTAAAAATATGTGCTTCTTTGTAGAAACCCTTCCACAACTTCAGTTCCGAGTTAGTTTTAAATTAAAATGGAGAAGTTGACCAAACATCGATTGGAAATCTTTATTATTAAGGTTCAATGGTTTTAGCTTTAATTTTTATAACTAAGAACATAGTAAATGAAAAAGCTTCAAGATTTAAGATAATATAAATCTCAGGTGATGATTGAATATGACTGTAAAATATTGTGATGTTCATTTCCTGTGTTCCTATTCAAAAGTTGACTTTTCATTTGAAAGAATTTAGTTTCAGGTATGTTGAGTTCTGCTTTCCTAGATTCTTTTGCGTATGGAGTCTAGGGTTGGAGTCACAACCAATTTTGTCGAGGTATACCCATCGTAAATTTTAAATCAAAAGGCATGCACGATGCCCCAGGCTTGCCCGTATTAAAATATGTACATTTGACATACCAGAAAATAGTTCCATGGGAATAAAGCACTCTTACGAGTAGAACTGTCCAAAAGCTCTGGGACATATGTGTAAATTTGTTCATTCATACGGAGTATGGATGTACCAATTAATTGAAAAGCAATTCACGTCATCACTCCAGTGGAGTCATGAAGTGACTCAATATGATCATTATAATCTCAAGAACTAATTAATTACTGAGTGGTATAAGACAATTCCATCGTAACGTTTGTTTATCATGTGCTTGTGTGTAGAATAAGGACATTGGTGACGAGGTGACAAATACTTGAAAGAGCATGAGGTATTTGACACTCAGATGAGGTTAAATTAGAAGATGTTGAAGCCAATAGTTCAGATAAAGTTCAAAGAGTAACATCAAACCAAAAAATGTACTCTACAGTCATACACAGGCCTGGTCTTGGACGCGCACATCGTCAATATCATAGTGGGATAAATGTTAGAGATTAATTTCCGGTGATTTGGATGTCGCTTGTTAGTCAAAATACTCTTGTCATGGGATGTTATAAGATAATTGTAAATAGATAAAATTCTTGTAGCGAGAATAAGATCCGATATGCAACATATGTATCACAGGTAGGCGACATCATGTGAAGGTTGATATCCTCATCTAGCAAAGGATATATATGGGAAAAGAAAGGATAATGCATGACTATGGATGCTTCGTAATTTTCACATAAATCGAGTCCAGTACGAGGACAATCTGCACAGACAACCTAAGAGATGGGCGAGGTTTCGTCCCGACGAGGGACTTCAAAGACGGGTAAAGAGCTTTGTCACCAGGATGCGATTGATCCCACTAAACTTGGAGAGTCACTCGATTGAGGGACAGAAGCGGTCGAGTTCAAACCCTAGTTAACTTTCACGCCGCATGAGATCGGGGAACCAACCAGAGACACTCACAACTGATGTCCTCATTTCCGCAACTTGATGCGTGAGATTTGATAAGCAGCGAGGACAAAACATGCGCTGCCTCGCAACTGAGTCCCGACGGGGTCTAAATCGAGCTAGCTGTGTGGAGGAGAAGTAGCAAGGCTGCCACTTTAGCAGTTGGCGATGGAGTAAAACCGAAAGATGCGGAGCATAAGATTCGTCCGTTCAAGTGTGTCGACATACATGCCATGCCAGGGGTCCTGTTACTGTCTAAGCTGCCGGCTGCAAATGCGTACAGCAACTGGTCCTTGATTTCGATGGCAAATTTAAGGCGCATCACTTTCTCCTCTTCCGTACACAGACAAATCGATTAGACTCGCCTCGTACGGAATCAAGAGTGAATAAGATTCAAGCTACGAATCAAGGCGCCTAGCGTGTGCTTGCTTAAAGCTTGTACACTTGCGGGGGCGTAAGGAAGAACGGACTGATTTGGGTCGAATTTACTCTCAAGGTAGGCTGGCTGTGTCTGCTCCGCGTAGCCTCATGATCGAAGTGGGCCGCTTTGTACTTTGCAGCCCGCGGATGTTGACTTCGAGGGTTTGTCAGGATTTTTGTCAGGTGTCAGGTGGTGAGGGAATGAAAAGGATATGTTGAACAAGCAGGAGCTCTTGCTTTGGGAAGTAGAGTAAAATCTGATCACTAGTACATCACTTGGATTCTGAGTTCCATGACTGAGTAGAATGAAGTATCGAGGGTGAATCGGGGAATTACAAGAAAAGGTTGGGAAGGTGGTTGTTTGCCTCGGGCCTCGAGTTCGGTTGTTTGCGCTTGAAGGAGAGAGACGTCCTTGTCAAATGTCTGTCGAGAGAGTCCTGAAGTGTTCAGATCCTTAGTCACTCAAGTCTTCTGGAAGATTCAGGGGATGCAAGCACGGATAGAGTTTTTGAGTCCCATGCTGGTTTCTTTTTTCAACCCGAGGTTTAGTCGTAATCCATGACTGCAGGCTGAGGTGCTGAACCGTACGTGGATTCCGGAATAGAGATAGGAGAGGCTAACAAAATCTGGGGTGTTGAACTTGTCCGATGTGTAGAATTGGTGCGATTTTGCCTTGTTTGTGACCACACTTAACACTTTTGCTGTTTGGATAGACCAGAAGTGGTCGACGAACACTCTTGACAGCTACAGTCAGATCAACAGGCTCACAGAAGTGTGCAGCTGCTAGGACCTGTCTTACACGGTTTTGTCTCATGTCCTTTTGGCTCATCACTCGTTGTTTTATTGCCCATTGCAGAGGGCAACGCTGTATCTTTATGCAATCTCATAAACGAAGCTGCTAATTTCACATCCGTTTTCCCTAGTTCGTCGAAAGTTCTGGTACGTCATTTTCATGTCTCGAAACATCATTATTGTGTTTAAGTCGATGTTGGGTAGGAGTTCAGCTACTCACGGAGTAGGAAGCTCGTGCAGAAGTTGCAATTCTATCGTAGCATTTCCGTTTTACAGCTCATGAGTTGCAAACGGCGTGACGAGTCTGAGAGCAGCTCCTGCGCTTTCTTACAATCCCATCGTCGCAAGCTTTCTCTGCCGTGATGTCTTTGAGATCTCACGACAAGAAAGGAATGAAAACTGATTTCTCTGTGTATGTGATGATTGCTGTCACCAGAGGGTAAGCCGATTATAAGCAACATGGGAGACTGCGGAGGAGCCGCCGACTTGAATGGAGTCGACAAGAGTCAGGCGACACGTCTGAAGGGCGGGGCTATAGCTGGAATTCTAATCGCTAGTGCCCTGGGAGTGGCGATTCCTCTTTTGGGAAGGAAGTTCAGGTTTCTACGAGTCGAAGGCAGGCCTTTTGTCGTCGCGAAGTCATTTGCCGCCGGAGTTATTCTGGCCACGGGGTTCGTACACATTCTGGGCGAAGCATCGGAGAGACTGCAAAGCGAGTGTTTACCAGAGATGCCGTGGCACAAGTTCCCTTGGACTGGATTCATCGCAATGATGTCCGTCTTCCTCACTTTGGTCGTGGACGCCGTGGGTACCGAGTATTACGAGAGAAAGCATGGAGTCTTTATGGGTCATGGGCATGGAGCTCTTGAGTCAGCGTCAAGCCGCGTGGCCGTCGACAACAAGACTATCGACGAGGAGAAGAACACTCTCGACTTTGCCCAGCGCGAGAAAGAAACCGAACATCTGAGACATGTGGTCATCTCGCAGGTGAGGCTTTCTCTAACTCTCACGATGAAAGCTTCTGCGCATGATGGAATTAGCTGTAATTGTGATGGCATTTGATTATATATGTGACGGTGTACTGAGATTGACCTGTGCCCAGCTGTCGTTTCATCCCACCAGCTGGTGGCAAGTGCACTTACCTCACACCGCAGTAGCCTTACATTGAGCTAACCACTTCACGGAATCTGTCCTTGTCCAGGTCCTGGAGTTGGGAATTATCGCACACTCGGTTATCATCGGAATCTCACTCGGAGTTTCCGACACTCCCAGCAGCATCAGACCGCTGTTCGCCGCTCTATGCTTCCATCAATTCTTCGAAGGCATCGCCCTCGGTGGCTGCATTGCACAGGTCCGATACTTTCGCACATGCACATTCACTATGTCGACACTATTTCGACACCCGACGCGGTCTGATTTTTGGACAAAATAGTTCAGTGGTCAAGTGTGGCCGTTGCGTGGATGGTGTGGGCCCAAAATAAATGTGGGGCTCGAGGGCTACGCCCACTTCGCAGTAGCTCTTGCACTTTTGTGTGTTTTTTGCGCTGCTGGTTCCCTCGCTCTCTGCTTTGCCCAGTACCTAACGAGGATGCCGTTTTGTCGTGTTGTTGGACGTGCAGGCTGGATTCAAGAGAGTGGCCTCCTTCCTGATGGCGACCTTCTTCGCATTGACCACTCCGTTCGGAATCGCTCTCGGCATCGGAATTGCCTCGAGCTACAACGAGAACAGCCAAAGCTCGCTTATCGTCCAAGGCCTGTTCGACGCGATTTCTGCTGGAATCTTGATCTACATGGCTTTGGTGGACTTGATCGCACACGACTTTCTCGGAAAGCGCATGAAGGGCGACCGGCGATTGCAAGCGATGTGCTACACGGCCCTGTTCGCCGGCGCCACTGCCATGTCCGCTCTGGCCATCTGGGCCTGAGAGCTCGACAGTGTCTTGTCATCCTTTGTACGATTTTAAAATACATACACTCATCGTCCGTGGGGACCATGTATGAACAAAAGCTTTGAAGACTGCAGAGATGAGAACTATAGAGGTTTGAGTGTCCGGCTCGTGCTCTTCGACAACACCGCGCGGAGAGACTGTAAAACATGAACGATCCAGAATAAGTTGCGGGGCCGATCATCGACGATGACGACGACGGCGGGCTTCGAACATCCATCCGGCCACATCCACTGTGGCATCCATAGGCAAAATCGAGTGGCCGACTGGGCTGGCGGTCAATGTGTCGAGATCATCACCATCAGGCGGGCTCATCCTTTGGTCGGCTCTGCAGCAGCTGATCGTGATGACCTGTTCGAGAGTTTTGTGTGTAACAACCAACCACCCATCCAAATGTAAAAGTTTAAAGTAGGATTTTTTTCGGTGATTTGATCATCCAGTTGATAATAAATTCAGAGCGTTGCATCCTCGTTCGCATACAGATCTGATCTAAATAGTTAACTTCTGAATCGCGAACGGACAGCAACCTTCCGCGTTTTTCTTTCATATTCATAACCTCAGTTATAGGCCCATACTCCATTTATCAACCTCCTGATGATTTTGAGCGGACGTGAGTGTGATTACCACCGCGGTGATGTGCGTTCGCATAGCCTCAGTGGAACTGATGTTCTTCTAGTCCCTCTGACGCATCCCACAATCACCGATGCAATGTAAAACCGACGTAAAAATATTTTTGTACATTCATGGCATTCGCATGAATGTACTTCAACTCACAAGTCGAGGATGTTTACTGGCTTTTAAGATTACAAGCGAGATCAGCTTTGCCCGTTCAGTGTGCAGATCTGACTGATGAAAGTGTGATGAAATGAAGTAATTTTTCGAAGAACAAGTCCCTGCGTGCGATTTTTCAGTCAGTCTATACACTCTTGCCTTAAAGGATATTACGTTCTCTCCTAGTAAAGAATACAGCGAACATCGCTAACATCAACCTGAGAAATATAGCGAAGTTTGAAGGTGAATATAATGCTATTTATTGTCGAAAGTGCGATTGGACTTACGCTCTGACTTCAGTTCACAGTGCTTTCTACCTTAAATCTCATTTCATGAGCTGCAGTACTTTATAGTGCCACTTTGTGTGGTCCACGGTTAACACACGTGAGTAACCTGTCTGCTAGTTATGATCTCATGGTGCTAACAGCTTCGTACGGTGGGGGACATTTTTTTAGTAGCTGCTGATAATGACAAGTGTACAATAACCTAAATCTGATACTGTTGCTGGAATAGAACAGTAGCAAAAGTTGTTATAAAAGGAGCTGCTTTAGGTGCACAATATATCATGAGTACGTTGCGATAAGCTTACAGAGGAAGCTGTAAGCTTTCTCTGTAATGGTCAGGTCTAGAAAACCTGACCATGTCTCGTTTGGCTCAGTCAGATGTTTATACAATGACAACAGAAAAAGCTTGCATTTTGTGGATAGGATGAAGATAGACTTTGACTTATTGCTGTGCAATTCAGAGAAAGTCGCCGGACGAATCTAGACCATGACTTTGTAAGCTGCGCGATCGAGCTACTGAATAGCTTTTAAGCGGAAGACGTTTAGTCTGGATCTCTTCACTACTTACGACTCTCAGGAGTGTAATGACAATCATATTTTTGATCTGAAATGTGAGAACCCGAATCCGAGGAGCCTAATTGGAATGATATACACAGTCTAGGTTGATCGGTCAACGTACTGCATCCGAGGAAAACCTCATTTACGTGTCATGATCGAAAACTGCAGCTAAATACTGATATCGAAATATACTCCTTCAAATCGAGGTTTGTGGCTGTCTATCACATAGCCTTTCACTATAGTGAGGCTGTAAATTTCTTCTGAATATCATCTGGAGCTTAGCTATGATATTCAGAAGAATCCCCATACTCTATTAGTCTGAGATCCAGTTCTGACATTTTCTTGCCCTTCTACAGGCAGCACCGTACCTGTTAAGTGCCGCGTGACATTCCCCGGGTATCGATATCCCTCGGATCCAAAGGAGATAATATTCAACTACCATGATGATTAGTTACTGACGTGACGTTTGATCCTTCAAGTCAAAGAGATGCCAGTCAATGTGCAGAGTTTAGTTTGCTTGGTGTATGATTGTAATCCCATGCTGCAACGCTCCTCGGCACATGAAACAAAGTCCAGACTCGATTACTTTCGATTATGCCAGTGGGGCATGACATATTGTTGGTATACCCAGATAATAATCTCGACAAGAGCTCAGGTTCTGCCCCTTTCTCTTGACTTGTATTGAACACAGAAATCGAGAGCCAAACATATCAAATTTCAAGTATCTGTTGTTGATCTATTTGCAATCGCCTTTGGAGCTGCAGAGGCAGCGGCAGCATTTGACGGAACCGAGTGCTAACGGGTTACGTCCCACTCCACAAAGATCGTATCGTCGATTGTTTTTTCCAGTTCGAAGCATGAATTGGACAACGAAAGTGAAAAACCTGTGGCCAACTGTCAGCGTTCAGAGTTCCGGAATCCAGAATGAAATTGGACATTGTCTTGCTTGTTGGTGACGCTGGTGGCAACATGCTTCGCAGAAAAGAGAGCCGCGCAGGGAAACCAAGATTACTGAACCGGCAGTTACGTTTGACTACGGTGAACACGTTTTTGGTTTGCTGCTAACTGCGCTGCACATCCGTAAACAAGAAAAAGGTTTCCCACGAGAGAGTCTGCGGTAGACTCTTTACCGTCTATCACACCATTAACCTCTATTACACTAGTTTGTTTTTGGCTGACAAAATAAAGGATGGTTGAGGATGTGTGCATCCTGTATTAGCAAGAATAGATTTCGAGCAAAGAATAATATGGAAATATCCATCAAGTCTGAAATGGATGGAACCAAAACTGTAACTTGGGGCTTTAATTGCAGCCTATTACGGATAAGATCCCTCTCATTATCTTATAAAAATGTGAAGTTTCTAGTCTGTACGCATTGTAACTATACTAACTAAAACTTTAACTTGGGGCTTTATTAGTAGCATTAATGTGTTAAATCCAAACTATCTAAGTAAAACAAGTTACAATTAAAATGAGAATCCGAATAATTTTATATGTAGATAGTTTAGTTTTACCAACAACTATTACTCTCTATGGCATTGAAAACTTGAAAGTTTGGAATTTTAAATAGACATTTACATCTAAAAGCAGCAGTGCCTCGGCAAACTAATGAGATAATATCCCCCTCATTATCTTATAGAAATGTGAAAATTCCAATCTATACATATCAACCTAGCAATCCAAGAGCTTGAGTATGTTACTGTGGAATATTAAAAATCTTTCTACAACAAAGTATGTGAGTGCTGATCCGATTTGATAGCGCACATTATCAACATTGTGGAGACGTGAGAACATGAGGAAAACACTTGGAGATAACCAGAATTTATTTTGGTGGGATCCACTGGAAATCATAGAAGTCAACGAGGAGGAAGAGACTATGGCGGTATTGCTACTTTCATCATATTTCAATTTCTACCTCTGATATATCTAGAAAGTCAAGATATTGGAGATCAATATCATTGGCTTCGTCTTGGATTGGCTAGAGTATATTATAGTTATTTGACTGTTTGTTACTTTGCACCATTGTTTATGCCTCTCTACTCCCCACACACTTAAAATTTGAGTCAACCATTCCATCTACTTACATGAATTATTCTTGATTATCAGAAAGTTGAAGTTTTTCTTGTTGGAGATTTCAATGCTCGAATACATTGTGCACAATTTACCCAAGTTGGTGATCTCTTGACTTCAGTTCTCCTTTGAAGAACTTGAAGATAGTACGTGGACTAGAAACTTTTCTAATACTTGTATAAATCCTTTGACATAACACTTTCTAACCCTTGGAGCCACATGTAGTTTGAAAGTATTCAACGGTATCTCTCTCTTTTCCAACTCCCTTTCTAATACATGTTTCTCTTCTCATTCTCTTTTCTGTTTTCTTCTCTTCTCATTCTCTGTTTCTTCTTATTCACAAGTTAGGAAATAAGTACTTGGTGACAAACTATTGCACTATAATGGTGAGTAGTGTTTTTGCCAAGTTGTTTAGCAAATTGGTGGAGTCAACGTTTAGCACATGGACTGAAAGAAAGCCTGGTTTCAAGCAAGTTTTCATCCCACATACGACATCATTGATCATATCTTGGCCTTGCGTGTTTTATGAAAGAAGTAGAAGGGCAATGCAAAAGCTTTGTTTTACGAAACAAAGCTTTTGACACCGTACCTCGTGAACTATTATGGTAAATGTTGCAAGTCATTGGAATACCATTAGATCTTCTGGCAATTGTGGCCATGTTATACCATTCTGTTCGAGCCAAGATCAATACTTCTCAAACTAAAGAGGTTTTGAGTACCATTTGAGTGATTCAAGGTAGTACACTCTCTCCTACTCTATTTGGAGTTTTTATAGATGATATCGTAGAGTGGTTGGAGGCATGTGATAGTGAAAGTGTCAAGCTTGAAAACTTTGTTATCAAAGTTTTCTTGTATGCAAATGATATCATATTACTACCACGTGATATAATTAGTTTACAGAAACATCTATACATCTAATTTGGCTAGCTTTTGTACCCAGAATCAGACGACAATAAATATGGAGAAGTCTAAAGTCATGATAGTGGGCACTAGATTCAAATCTTACTTCTATTACATCTACAATTAGAAGAGGTGAAGAGTTATATATATCTAGGCATTGATTTTTCTAATGGTTATAGTTGGGCACTTTGCTTACAAAAGAGAATAGAAGGTGGTTACAAAGCTCTATTTGCATTGTTAAATCGGTGTAGAAGGTCTCATCTAGTGTCTTTGAGTCTTAGTAAATTTTATTCAGAAGCTTAGTGTTGCCGATAGTATTATATGGAACCCAAGTGTGGGGTTTTGGTTGTAAGAGAAACAAGTTGGGAGCGTGTGGAGAGTGTGTAGAAGATATTTCTACAAGAAGAATTGGATGTGTGAAACCAAATTCCATATGCTATTCTTCTTGCGGAAACAAGTTGTTTACTTCTAGAGGCCGAAGCTCTATACTTGACCATCATTTACATTAGATGTATGAACTCTCTTGATGCTTCTCGCCTTCCTCTTCAAGCTTTGAGTGCCACACATGCCAAAGGACGGTTAGCGGATGTGATAACTTGGTCTTTGAGGTGGAATGTGACGGAACGCGATTGGGGCTTGCAACCTATAGCTCTACGTGAACGTTTAAAGGAGAAGTTTCTGAACATTATTTAGAGCAAGCGCGGCACCAAGATGTAGTTTTATCAACTTCATGTGAATCTTATGCTTGTTTATTGTGAACATGATTATGTACTTGTAAGAATCTCTACGTACTTACGTCATATTATTGCTAGGTATAGATTTTGGTCTTATTGGCTTGGAATTGAGTAAGGACGTTGCCTTAATATTGATAGGACTGAACGTACTTGTAGATTATGTGATGGTGGGTTCATTGAGTATGAAAAGCATGTATTAGATACTTGTTCTAAGTACAAAGACATTAGTCTTGCTCATAATATAGATGTGGAGAATTTATATTTTTTGTTATAGTTAGTTACTTTTGATTTAGGTTGTTATATTAGGCTCATTATTAGTTATTATTCTATTGCTCTTGGCATTAGTTAGGGATTAGATTTTATTGTATTTTTCCTTGTTTATGATTTTTGCTTGTATTGTGTTTTTTTAGCCTTTTGAACCTTTGAGTTCCTTGGGCTTAGTTTTTTACCATTTATATTATATATATATATATATATACTATATATATATATAAGTATAATTCATCTATGAATCTTATATAAATATGCAACCTCCCTACATACATTAATATACACCTTTACAAGTACATTAATCTCCCATTTAAGTGAGCATTCCGATTAAGTTCTCATAATTTTCTTCAAAATGTCATAAATGATCATTTTGTGCAAATTTTGAACATTCTTTTGTTTGGAAATAAAATGTTGGTTGATGTTTGGGTTGATGTATTTTGGTAGTAGTAAGAAACAACTAACCAGTATGTATCATACTGTATTCATTTTCTGAAAATATTGGGCAATAAACACGCAAGTTGGTCTAAAGGTTTGAGTAATACATGATAGGATTTGTTGACTTAAGCTCACTCTTTGATAAGCATCAACTTTTTCAACCCTCGTCTTCTTATGATTGATTTAGGCAAAATTGATAAACTTAATGCAATACTTTTTTGCTTTTGCAATTGCGGAATAGACAAATTAGCCCTATGCATGTCAATCCAAATGTAAAGCATTTCTTTCAACTAAAAAATAACCAACAAGATTGTAAAACATTTCTTTAGGTTCAAATATGTAGTCAGATCTTTTTTGGATTCTGCTCCCGGTTGTCTCGTACATTTATTTCAACTGTTTCACTAACATTGTAATCGCGAGCTAGAGCGCTTTTATTGGAAGCATAGATGTTGTTCAACTTATATCATATTGAAAATTCATTTAGTAGTTTAGTTTTGGTTTCTTCAGTATTACAATTGATTCGTAAAAAGAATGTGTCAGAATAAATCTGACCAGATACTTTTTCTATAATTGTTGTTATAATTTTAAATTGAGAAAAATATCTAAAAATTATATATGAATCTCTTATAAGTTTCTTAATAATTGTTGGTAGGTTTATCCTATGCCACATCTGAGGAGAAGAGAACATGGATAACTATTCCCTAACCGGAAGTAAAATGAGATTATATATATAGTCCGCACATTACTCCCAGATCAAGTTGCGAACTTAGTCGGGAGATTACTTTATATACCCTTTACTTGGGTACATTTTGTAGACAAGTGTGGGGTACAAGTTTAGCTGATGCCGATTTGGGATGGATGCGTCACTCCCTCCATGTTACACATAAGATCTACAAGCATCACATTTGTGACAGTTGCACGGTTATAAGGACCGAGTGTAGTTCTAACGTGATACTAGTTCTCCAGATTACAAATTCTCTTCTGGCTCACCAGTTCCCCTAGAAACTCTTGAACCCCTTTCGGGCTCTGATTTTTCTTTGATCTCTCCGGAACGTAAAACAGTATAAACAAGACAAGATCCTTCACTAGCTCCTTCACCTTCACCGCTCGTCACGCAAGGATTCATCCGCAACCTAGAAATTATGATAAATTCAAAAAAAATTTCCAGGCGTATGTTACGAGATCGAATTATTAGTTTCCGTCTGGTGGAAACCCATATCCAAGCTGATATCGTCGATGTCGACAGCTACGGAAATCCCATGCAGACCAGACTTGAATGAGGGAGACGCAGGAGATTCTGAAACAAAGATTCTGAGGCGACAATGTTCCAGTGATCGGACGAAGTCCAGGACAAATGGAAATAGAAGTTCGCATCTTCCATATCTGACGATACTGACCATACCCTAAACAACAACAACAAAATATCTAGGCTATGCACTAGCAGCCTCCTTCCTCCTTGCTGATAGTTGGTAACCCCAAGGTTTGAATTTCAGAACATCATGGGCATTATCGCGTCAGATGCAAAGGTAGACATATGTGCACAATGGCGTGAAGTTTCCAATATTCCTTGTACTATTACAATAGGCGACAAACTTCCTACGAATTGACCGAATGGAAAAGATGCACAGATGAAAGCTCCCGTTGGCGTAGTTTACTCGCACGTCACGAAGAGACCAAAATTCCAAGCTCTTCAAACGTCGTTATGGAGGGATGAAGTTCACCTGCACCGACACTTCAAGGAACCGCCATAAAAAATACTGGTCCAACTGCTTTCTGAGCAGATCTAAATATCAGAGAAATGTCCAAAGCTCCAAATTTATTAGCTGCCCCTGCCCGACAGAGTAGTTGATATACCCAGCCCCTCGCCGACCTCCACAGTCGATTCCACTCAGCGATACTGCCTCTAAGAAGCAAAGAAGAGATTCTCTGAACTCGGCAACTTGCCCAGCAGGTGACTGACTGGGTCGCCATGCATGATGACAACAGGAGCGTTAGTGAGCCCACGGCCTCTATATGAAGGGTTGAACTGTGTGTAGGATTAGAAGTTTAGATTCATCGGACTCAAACGAACTCGGACATTCTCGAAGACCTCCCTCCTGAACTGCAAAGTAGGCTGCACACTGCGATCTTGTCGAAGATGGCCGCCACGAACGCCAGCACCGTTTTCACGTACATGTACGATCCCCGGTCATGGACTTTTGGGACAACCAGTTTGATCGTCGCAGTGGTGGCTGTTGTGTCAATCCGCGTGCTCACTATCGGGATGGAAAGGAGGAAGTACAATATGCCACCGGGTCCTCGGTCCTATCCGCTGATAAAGAATATGCTCGAGATGAAAGGGGTGGAAATGCACGAGACATGGTGGAGCTTGTCGCAGACTAACAAGTGGCCCGTTATGAGCTTCGGATTCATCGGTAAGCCAACTATCATCGTGAGCTCTCCAGAGATAACGAAGGAGATGCTTGTCACGAAGGGTACCATCTTCAATTCACGGGACAAGGATACTTACGCCAGCCTGGGCCTGACGATGAGCCCCGATGGTAAGTCCGAGATGGGAGCTCTTTTCACGCCTCACGGTCCTTCATGGAAGATAACCAGGAAAATCATGGTGGCAGGACAGAACGAGTTCAAGAAGATTATGGGGGACGATTACGTCGTGAACGTTCTTCTGCCACAACTGTACGCGGAAATTGACAACGAAGTTGCGATCGATGCTCGCACTCGAGTCGCCAAAATGATGGTAATGAGGATATTGCTGGTGTTCGTCTTCGGGCCCGGAGCTGAGCAGTACGCCAATATGCTTGTTCCTCTGAACGATGAGCTCTTCCGTGTCGTGGACATCAACAACGGGATAGAGTTCTTTCTCCCGCCTATTGCGAAGCCGGTGTCCTGGGTTTATTACAGGCTGTTCCAAAAGGGTCTCGTCGCAAAAAAGCACAAGGCTTACGAAGAAATCCTCTCTCAACGGGGCATAAGGTAAGTGAACGCTGAAGTGATCTTCGGGTCTTTCTGTGCTGTTTGCAATCTAGCGAGCAAGTCTGAAAGCAGAGATCCTAATTGGGAACCAGCTGTCTTCAGCGGTCTGTCAGTTCCTGACTTCCCACCTTGTGCTCCACTGGGCTTTTGGATTTAGCTGTCTCAGATGTCAGAGTTCTCCGGATTTTACGGATTCCCAGGAAGGTTCCAAGCTCACTTGCCTACCTGGATTAGGCCAATCGCTGCAGACAATCGTGAGTCGTGGTTCGGTTTGACATCCTTAATGGATCGAGGGTGTATCCGAGCACGAACTTCACTCACGTGCTGGCTGTGAGTTTGTGGCTGCAGGTATAATTTGAAGAGCGAGTGGTCTCTGAGTGACATGGTTCAAGAATATGAGAGGAATGGCGAGATCAACCACCATCAAGCACTCCAGATATACGAGGAGTGCTTCTTCGCCGGCCAAGACACGACGGCTGGCGCAGTCGAAGGGATTCTGAAAATGATAGTCGAAAATCCGAGAATTCTCGTGAAGGTGCAGCAAGAGATGGACGAGGTGCTGGGTGAAGGAGAGCAGTTCAGACTCACCGACGTGGAGAGGCTGCCATACTTTCAAGCACTGATCAAGGAGGGCCTGCGGCTTCACCGAGCTATCCCCGTGCTGATTCCTCACTGCGCACATGAGGACTCAACTCTCGGAGGCTACGACATCCCGAAAAATACACTGGTGACGGTGAACATTTGGGGTCTAGCTCGAGACCCGGAAGCTTTCCCCGATCCTTATGAGGTGAAGCCCGAGAGATTTCTCGGTGTAGATACGAACTATAGCGGGACGGACGGCAAGTACATTGTCTTCGGCCTTGGGCAGCGCATCTGCCCAGGTCAAAGTGTGGCTCTGTTCATGGTGAACATGCTGATCGGAAGCCTGTGCCAACGGTACAACTTGGCTCTAGCAAAGGACTGGAAGCATGAACGTGACGCGGGTACCTTCTTCAAGGAGGTCGCTCTGCACCTGAATTTGATGAGACGGGTTGATTCTCACGAAATTGCTGGATAGAAGGTCTCAAAGGCAGAAAATTAATCTGAGTAATTTGTTAAAATGGCTTTACTGGGAGCGGACCTATTGGTGCTGAAGGATTCGGTGGTGATCGGGGCGTTGTGAGACGCAACAGTTAATAGAAACATTAACATTATGTGAACATTATATACTAGAGAGAGTACTCTCGAGGTATATCTAGAGGCATTGCTCCTTTTGACCCTCTGAAACCTTTTCTGATCCCGCCACGAGCAGGATCAAAGGTTGTGTCAAAGTTTCTATTAATTATTAACATGGTAATTGCCCTTTTTTGTGTGTTTGGTTTTCCAAGTCCGTCCATCTAGGAGTGGAATCGATCTCGACAGGTATCAATAAAGCCACGTAATTAGAATGTTAGTGAACTTAAACTCAATCATTCGAAAATTCTCGTGAAATACTAATGACCACTCTCGGGTTGGAAAATTATGTTTACTACAAGTTTATTTCCACAAGAATGTTGAAATCCATAGAATTAGCAAACTAGGTAAAAATAATAATAACTCAATGCCTATGTAAAAAAATGTAAATTACATTTATATGACATGCTTGATGACATGTGACATCACCAAAATTTGATGAAACGGGAAAAACATAGATAATAAAAAAAAGAGGTTGACATGCATACGTTGACATAATGTTCTCTACAAGGAATCGGTGAAGACCTTTGAACTTTCACACTGATCTCAGATAAGCCAAAAAGTAACGAAGTATAATTAGAGAATCAACTCACACTATTGATTGAGGCTTCAAATATTCAACTTAGATAGTACATCGCTGAAATCAAAGGACATAAATCTCTTTATTTTGCTAAAAAAAAATTCATAGTTGGTACACACATTTCGATCTAAAGAGGATTCCACTCCAATACTCATATGAAAAAAACAAGTTTATGGCTCAAAACATTAATCTGATACCCTCAAAGTACATCTTACCAATCAAATCAACTTGACACACTTTCCATTGGGACTAGCTGATATGGAAACTTTGTGATTTGTGCGTGTCATCCTTGCCCATGCTAATTTTCTCTGTATCGTTCCAACTTTATCGGATGTCCCCGAAAGAACGTCCGATAAAGTTGCGAAGTTTTAACTCGTGTAGGGTAACTTGAGTCAGCACTTTAGGATTCAAATTATACTAATAAAGGTGGATTGACCTAGCTGGCTCTAAAAATTGATAGTAAAGATTCTTATTCTCGTGAAGGTAAACAAGTACAGAATCACGTTATTTTTCTTGTGTACTCTAGTGTTTCCTTGCTTTCGTGTGAAGTAGATTTAACAATTGATATCAGGTATCAATTAATACCTGATATTCTAATCGACCTGAAGATCAGGTCGATTAGAATGCTGCAAGGAGAGTAAACGAGTGAGCGTGCGCATGTGAGGTGTAGATCAATTCGGTGTCACGGACAGAGCGCGAGTACAGCAGAAAGAGAAAAGCTTCAAAACTTTGGTAGTGTGATAGTGTGATGGAGCAATCGGATAGTACGTGGTAGTTGCGGGGCAACAAATGATGCAAATTCCAGTTGTCTTGTCTCTCTCGACGAATCGCGCCCAAAGGTGCTCTCTCTGTTGTCGAGGATTCTTTGTTGCAGCTCAAACTGTGCCTCCTCCATCACAACGTGCTCCGAGTCAAAGCCCCTCGTGATCACAAGCACAAGCAACAATTCAGTTCGGTTGTGACGAGCAGAGATTAAATTTCGAGCGTGAAGGATAGAGACATAGCGTATTGGGAGAGTGAGACCAAAACGCGCTCGGAATGGATTGGAAAAGAGGATGCGCTTGAAAAATACCCGGTGCGATTGCACGTCAGAAATTTGTCGCAATTGTTCGTGATCCACAATGAGTCTCGTCGCGTTGGAAGATTCATTCCTGCATGTCTGTAAGAAATGATTCGTGAACATAGAGGTTCCAGTTTGCAACGGGTCGGTATGTAGTGTCAACAATTCTGTTTTAGATATTGCATCGCCGTTTCACATTTTCTTGGCCATCATCTCACCAATTGTCCGCAATGGGTAGTCTATAGAGACGAGCTGCTCAAACAATCCCTGCAAGTCTTGGTCTACGACTGGTGGGTGGTGAGCTGGGTTCATGGAGATTTAGTTCAATTCAAGCTTTATCGGATTAGAAAATTTTTACAAAGCCTCTCAAAAGCTTAATTTCTTTGAATTCTTCTCATTAATGAGCTATTTGCAAATGAGTAAAGGTTGAAATTGATCACACTACAAGATAGTAACCATTTGTGAAATTCAACTATGGAAGAAGTAGAATCCAGAGGCATGAACTTGTGCATAGGCTAGAGCAAATGAGGTTTGTTTAGTGTATAGGAGAAACTTGTTAATAATTGACTTGGTCAAAGCATCATATCTTCAAATCAAAAGCACTAGGCTAGATGAGAAAAAGAAGCATTGAAAAACATTGGGACTCAACCACCGATTTTTCTAATAACGTCTATGATCTTTTTTTAGCACGTTTAAGTAGTAATAACTATCATATCAATGATACGTGTGCTTGGTAGTAGAGAGTAAATGCGTTAATTGACAACATTATGTCAACGATTCATGTGTTTGGTACATAAATATTGAATGTGTTAGTTGAGAATGTCACATAAGCAATCCGTGCGTTTGTTAGATAATGATTGAATGTACTAGTTGAGAACGTCATGTCAACGATCCGTGTACTTGTGAAGTAAACATTAAATGTATTAGTTGAAAGCATCGCGTCAACAATTCTTGTGCTGGGTAGATAAATTTTGAAGATTTTAGTTGAAAATGTCACGTCAAAAATCTATGTGCTTGGCAGATTAAGATTGAATGTGATAGTTGAAAATGCCACATCACCAATCCGTGCGTTTTGTACATAAAGATTGAATGTATTCGTTGAAATTGTTACGTTCACAATCCACGTAGTTGTTAGATAATGATTGAGTTTGTTAGTTGAGATCGTTAAATCAACTATTCGTTTATTTATTATATAAAGATCGAGTATGTTAGTTGAGAACGTTAAGTCAACAATGTGTGTGCTTGTTAGGTAAGGATTGAATGTGTTAGTTTAAAATGCCACAACAACAATCTGTGTGCTTGTTAAGATTATACACCATATCATCTATAGTGCATTAGTAGTGAATTGTATGATGACAATGAGCTCTTATCTCCTTATATGTTTTGTCTCATCTTTAAAATTTATGTTATCATCTTCGAGTGAATTTTTTTGTAAACCATAATGTTACAACACGTCATAAGTTTATTTATTTGACAAAACAAAAAGATTATCAGTGAATCTAATGGAGCAAGATATGATATAGTGAAATAAGAGAGACTTGTGATTTTTATTTTGAACATATAAGTTAAAGTCAAGCTGAAGTTCATGTATCTAGCCAAAAACGTTGAGGTCAAAACCGTACACATATAGCAACAATAACTTGAAAGAATTCTAAGAAAACAATCCGAGTATTGTCATAACTCATTTACAATTTTTGGTTCTTAAGCAGATGGATAAGTATGATGTATTTATTTTTCCTATTTGAGACTCTTGAGCGACATAGTTGGTAATCGGTAATATCGTAGTAATTGATAATATATAGTATGTTTTTTTGAAGCTGATGAATTTCAAGATGGAAAATTCTAGCATGTAGATCCAAGATCATATCAATACATTTGACAATGTTATCATTGATCTTTATAATTTTAGATGAGAGATGATTGATGAAATTAGCTTTTCATCTTTTGATTTCATTGACTATTTTCTATCAATCACTTTCACGTGTTTTGCTTTATCGTAATAGTCACATCATCATTTAGGACAAGCTTGTAAAAGCTTTATTTACTAATGACATTCCAAAAAAAATAAACATATCATCTACTCTATTTTATTTCTTTTCATTCATATTTATTTTGGATCTAAATATTTATCCAATCTTGGTTTAAATTCTTAAAAGAAACATTTGTGATGTATTGAACATCAATTTCTTTTACCACACACTTCAAACTTTTTTATGTCATTAAGAAAAAATATTTTCATCAATAATTTATGACAAAGTTATAAACAAACTCATGAATTTGATAATTTGCACAAGATTCGATATTACTTTAGCTTTGAGTAAGATGAATAGTTACAATTCAAATACAAAGAAAGTGCAATGAAATGAAGTATAAGTTTCTTGAGTAGTACTCAAGATTATGATTTATCATATAATGTTATATATATCTAGTAAGGATGCATACATTTATTCATCCTTGTTAGATCAGTTTTCATGTTCACCGTGAACAAAAATAAATCTATAATTAGAAATGTGATTGCAATAGTTAAAAATTTACTATGCAGAATTATGTAGTTTAGTTTTCAATGGAAATTCAATATGTAAAAACAACAAACTTAATAAAGTAAATAATTTGATTGAATAAATGTATTATTTAGATAGAATTAAAAACAGAATGTTATCAATGTTCACTATGATAATCAAAAGTGTTTTTAATTCTGTTGTAAACCAAATGATATATAATAAAATAAAAAATTTACTTTACATTTGTTATTTTATAAAAATAATAATATTTGGTAAAAATATTGAATTAATCAAAATTTATGATATTGAATTTAAATATTTTTTATTTTTGAGAGTTGAAGTGTGGAACATGAGCAAACGCTCTGGAAAATCATTCGTATAGCCCACCACTGTCTCCACCATTACTTCCAACATGTGACAGACGAAAAAAAGTAGAGAAAGCTGGAGAGATGGGGAAAAGAACCTGCAGTGTCGAATGCATCTGCAATATGAGAGCCGGAAGATGCGCACGAATGATTCACTTTTGTGCGCAATGAGCAACACGCAGAACTCATAGATAAAACCTCTCATGTGAGTGATCTTCAGAGCAAGCGCGGAAACACTGCAGTCCATCGAATCTGTGCGAACAAAGAGATTACAGGAGACCACAGCTGAGATTGTAGCATGGTTACGATCACAATGACCACACAATTATTGTGCATCAAAATGAGCTGAGGTGGTTCGGTGTACATTATCCATCGAAATCATGCCCTTCATCATGAACAGGTCATTCTCTCCCATTGCAGAAGACTGGGACGAAAGCCTTTTGAAAAAGTCCGAAGTGCTCATCCTGCTTGTTGATTTCTTTGGCTCCATCGATACTCACCCGGTATCTATGACAGCTACATAATCGGTTGATGTTAAATAACCTGGTTCAATTGTACGTACACCAGTCGTGAAATACCCTTGCATAACGAGGTGTGTTTCGGGATGCATTCGAAAGATACTTTTAACTCGTAAATCCAAGG